GAAGATGGAAGGTAGTTGTTTTTCACTGATGTTTCCGAAACACATGAGCTTCGTAAATAACCCATGTGGAACATTATTTCACGCGCAATAGTTTTACGCAAACATATCTGGGGATGGAATCAGACATGCGATTTTTATACTGCGCGTGCGTTATATCGTATATATTAGATGACTTTAGTGGTATCGATATTGAAAAGGCAGTTGATTATATTAAAAAAAGTCAGGTAGATAGGTTGAAACCTCTTTGGTTCTTTTTGTGGGTCGCGTGAAATTTAACCGATTACAAAAAAAGTCATACGATTATGGAATTGGTCAAGGGCCCGGCGAGGAGTCGCACGGTACGCAAAATTATTAAGGTAGAGTTTCGAACGAACAAATGGATGTTAACTTGTCAAATATCAATAAAGGCGGATCAACATATTGTGCTATTAGCGCTCTTCACCTACTTAATCGACTCGATGAAGGGCTTTTGTCCAAGGATCAGACAGTTTTTTGGCTCCTTTCGCGTCAACTCACTGGCTTTCAAGGTCGAGCTAACAAGCCACCGGATGCGTGTTATTCATTCTGGATTGGCGCATCCTTAAAGGTAATGAATATATCATGTGTGCTCAATATATCTATAATGAAATAAAAATAATTGCTTTTTTTTTTTTTTCAGCTTTTAGATTCATTTGAATACATCGATTTTAAACAGAATTTCGATTTTTTGATGGAAACCCAAACTAAATACGGTGGCTTTTCAAAGTGGCCTGGTTATTCTGCCGGTATATGAATTCATGTTGTCATGATAGTGTTATTAAAAGATTATATTATTGCTAACTCACGGGCAATATGTACTCTCATAAATAGATATGCTGCATACTTATATGGGTGTAGCGGGACTTTCATTAATGAACGAACCTGATTTACTAGAGTTGGACCCAGCTTTAAATATATCTTTACGCGCGAAAGAAAGACTTCATAATGTTGCCTTCAGAAAATAATGCTTAACCGTATGGCATAAGGAGTCAATCAAGAGTATTCACTTTCTCATTCTATTAATCAGTGATTGACTTTTCAGTAGAAAATTAATTGAGATTCTCCATCCAAATGATTTATTCCTTTAATTGACATAACTTCTGTTGTCGGTTGATTTATCGAATTATAAAAATGTTTATTAGATTCTTTCTGCTTTCGATAAAATCTAAAGCATTAATGATATACTAATATTCCCAAGTTACAAAAATGTGTTATACATGATAATACAAATATTAAATATATTTATCGGTAACATTAAAACGAACTTGTAGCTCTTGAAAATGTTGAATTCGTTCTTCGACCTGCACGTCCGATAAAGAAAAGTGAATACTGGTGATCTTTATTTAACAAATCAATACAAAAGAATGCATTGGAGCTTTACATGTACCTCTCGCATTTTATCTTCATGCTGCTGAAAATGCTCTTCTTCAATCCTTTTTTCTTCTTCAAGCTGCCCCCTAGCTTCCTCAATTACTTTTTGCAAACTCTTTTTTCTCCTATTCTTAAGATAAATCTTCTTAGATTTTACAGAATAAACTGGTTTTCCGGTAATATCGGAATGTTCTTGCAATTCTGAATCCTCTTCTCTTAACAAGGGCGAATCATCTTGTGTTGACAGAGGGCCAATGTAGTTGCTAGTAATGAGGTCTAAGCGTTTCTCCCTATCCCAAACGATTTGACCAGTCGACGCATTTTTGAAATAACGAACTCGATGAAACTGAAAATGTATTAGATCTTGAGTTGTTCTAACAAGCGTGAACCTTTGAGAATTACCGGAATCTCTTCTTCCTCGAAGTTTCCTCGGGTTATTTCCATCACTCCCAAAAACCTCTAAAAAATAAATATTTGATGTTATAACCGTTGTTTTAAATACTTTTCGCAGACACTCACGTCCTCATAACCAACAATGAAATCGCCTTCGGGAACAAATTCATTGTCCCACTTTAGGCGTTTATAGATCTCGTGAGCAGGTTTTAAACGCTGCATCAAAAAAAGGACTTGGGAAACCGGGTCGCAGTAATAATCTCAGAGAATAGAGCCTGCGCATCCTCTAAAAAATTGGCGGTTGTTACACAAATGGCATAAATTATTTATTAGCTGTAACTGTTACACACGAACCACGAATTTATTTGATAATCTAAATTGCAATGCCACGCAGAAAGCAAGTGATAAAGACTGGTAATGAGACATCGTCGGATAAGTCACCGCCTGTTTCATCTAGGCTTCGTTCTGCAAGTAAAAAGGGCACACATAATGATGATATCACGAAGTCAATTTCGGAAAAAGGCCTGATAAAAGCAAAACACGCTTCAACGGAAAAAACCATTCCTGAGGAGCCTTCAAATTCAGAAAGTGTCCTCGAAGAGGTTGGCGGTACGACAGAAAATAGAGCTTCAATTCCAACAACAACGAAGGAGGTGGACGATTCGGAGTTGCAAGAAGTCAGCAAGGAAGCTTTAGGAGAAGTCATTGAACAGGAAAAAACGACAGGTGGAATGCCAAGGTTAGAAACTTCGGACGATGAGGCAGCACCAGAAGAAGTTTCGATGAAAACGAGTAAAGCACAAGAATTGGATGCACAGAAGCGAAAACGAGCGATTGAGAAAAGGTATTTATTATTATTATTATTATTAACATGAATGATCGTTCGTATTTGACGTTTTAAATAGATACGCTGATTAAGAGATTAGACTTACAGAGGAAAAGAAACAAAAACTTCGTGAACTTGATCGGAAATACAAAGAACAAAAAAATCGGAAGTTGAAAAAAGAAATGAAAGATGTTCAGGCGGGTTCATCTTCTGGTAATCTGTTGGATTCAATAAAAAAAAGAGAATTGCCTACATTTTTACCAGATAGAGTATTGGAAGATTTAGCAGTTGAAGAAAGGATTATTGATGAAAGGTTCGAACAAATTATAGAACTGACTGACACGTCTGGACAAATACTCAAATAGGCATTTTGACGTGATCTAGGAAAAATGTGTCGGTGTCAGATGAAGTCGTAGAAGAGACTAACCGTAAGAATGTTGAGCCTCCTCGGAAGAAAAAGAAAAAGCATCACGACACTGGGTAATTTAAAATTGTGTTTAATCTTTGTATTATTGCTTATTCTGTCTTCACCAAATAACATGTACCGACAAAATGTATAGACCATTTACTGTTGTTGTCATGGATCACAATGAACCTAAATTTGTTGGTAAAGGAGTTGTCGAATTCCGAAAAAATCATTTTTATGGAGGCAGACTGCCACGAAGGAATGGTCAGCTTATGTTCCAATGTCATTGTTATCATTTAATGTCACCATGCTTAGGCATCTGTATATTTCGTTTGATAGCTATTTTGAATGCAAGTCAGACAAGAAATGGCGCGGCGCTCAGGTTTAGGAGAAGATGATCGTTCATTAGCAAAAGTTTCCTGACCATCTCATTGGTCAAACGCTTCAAATATGGGCAGTTGTGATATCTTGTAAGCACTAGGCTCGAATTTTAGATGCTTACGCTGTCAAGATTCATGTTTAATCAATAATAGATGAGCGAAAAAAGAATAACTTAAAAATAAATTTAATCGAATAAACTTATCCACAAGCTGATGCCATCAACGAACGAAGTTCAGCGTTTCACAAATTAAATCATACAAGTTATGATACAAAAAAAAAGTGATGCGCTCGATCGAATCAATGACTTACCTTTCAACCAGGATGTATGGTGCATCATGATGATGATCGAACGTGGAAATTGATGATGGGCAACTGAAGAACGGTGTATTGGACAGAAATGATAAACGGAAAATTCGGATGTACGATCAGAGCGACGGAACGCCTTGGAAAATTAAGATAAGTAAGCGCATTGGTCAGATTTTAATAAGGCTAATAATAGAGTACATGCGTGTATACTTTGTTCGAATGCTAGTTTTATTCGGTAACCCAAATGTTAGTTTGAATTTAAATTCTCCGGTTTTTCGTGAATAAAATTTGGCAATGTTTTCTTGACAAGGCCTGGGTCTTGATAAAAAATTTCAGAAAATTACGAAAAGATGTAAAAAGTAGTGAAACAACAATAATGATCTTAAGTGATACCGGTCAAAGGCTGATACAATATTATCATCATATGCGAATAGTGAATGGTCAAAATAGGGACTTTCACTACATGTTTGAGGGCTGTAGGGCAAGGATGAGAGAACGCGTTTCACAACCTGCGATGGTCTAAGAATGGTGAAAAGTGGTGTGAGTCGAAGGTTAAAACTAACGCGATAACTATAACCATACAGGAATTGAAATTTACCCTCCGTTACGTGCATGCCTGATCGCGTACAAACGCTTTTCCAACACTGCTTTTGCATAAATGTTATTTGAGTAGGCAGAATCACACAGAGATGGTTGATTAAATGCGACTCGCTGAAAGATCTCTGGTGAATTTTCAAATTCCGTGAGAAATTCCTCGGAAGCATTGTCGTATACGGATGAGACCTCTGTCGTCAAGAAATTGTATATCACGAAGAAAGTTGTGTGTGCGGCACTTTCGTGATGCTAATGAAAAACATAGAATGTCGGCATTCTGGCGTAAATGAGATTAAAGAAAAAAAAATAAAATAAAATCCAAGCCAACTAACGCGTCCGGTCACACAGTCGATACTCCCAAATTTTATGAGAAATCGCGATTCATCAATAAATTGCATTTTCCACATCACAAGCGAAGCAAGTTGTGCAAATATTTGATAAAAATGGCGTAGAGCCAAACCACTGTAAAAGTAATGTTTTGGGGTGAAAACTTAATTTGGTGGTGGTGCTCAAAAGAAAGAAATGAAGCATACCCGTCATTAGAGTGATAGGCCTTTTTAAATAAATACGACAACATCCTTTGCTTGATACCGCTTATAGGTGTAGCAGCCTAGGTTGAACGCATGTTATTAAACATTCGAAAAAGAAAGAGTACCAGCACGTTTCCGAAGATAATTCACCTCGGCGTTTACGCTTATTCCAGTTGCAATGCCCTGTTGCGGGCTCGAAAAAGTATTCGGGGATGGGACCTTGTTTTCCGTCATGTCATTAAGTGAATTGCTTGAAAGGAAAGATGATGAAAATGCGTATCTTTCATCGTCCAATTCCATGAAGTCAGAAGATGCGTTTCTATGAATGGTTGGGCTGATCGCTATCTTTCGCTGAGCATTATACTGGAGGTCAAAGTCACGGTAACGAGCCAGCACAAGTTCATCATCGTCATAGCTAAGCCATCCGACATCTTGTACATCAATAAAACGACCATCATCCTAGAAGGTTTAAAGAGAAAAGTCAGATCAATTGAAGATGATCAAGATTAAAAAAGAAACGAAATTCGCTCTCCCTACCTTGATATGAAGAATGCGTATCGTCTGATTTTGAATTGACATGATGGAAAATAAATTTCCCATGAGACTAACTCCAGAATGATACAATAAATGAATGCACTCGTTTTTATAAGTACGTGTGTCGCAAGTCTATTAGAAAATAACGATGACCATCAGAGAAAAGTGGAATAATAAGAATGAAAACGAATGAATTCGCGTTTACCTTTCCTGTCGCTAACTCTACAAGGTAAAATGTGATGTCATCAAAGTTCGGGATGCAATTTAATGAACAGGGGTACAGGCGAGCCTCTTCCACCGAACAGTTCGATGGTGAAGACGACGCAAGTATCATCTGAATAATAAATTATATGATGATGGTCAATTGTTGTCAAAGAATGCGTTTTACTCGAATTTTCTGATGATATTACATATTTCTGGTTCGATGTGATCAAACAGAATTCTTTGCAAAGAGTTTCGGATTGACTGGAGGTGATGCGCTGTTCATACTTGAGAGAAAAAAATTTGTCAAAAGTGTTTGAATGTTAAGAATGAATGCAGCGGAAGCCTTGTACGTGGCGCGATGTATGATATGCCTCAAGGATATGCATTATCCGAGTTAACCAGGGCATTGGCGTCCAAAGAAGTTTCAAGGTAAGTGTACTCGAAATAGAAAAGTTGGACAAAATTCTGATCTCGTGAAAAGCCTATCATGTACTAGAAATTGAATGCAATTGAGTGCATGTGTGAGAAAGAGGGGTGAGACGACACGCGAGGAATGTGAGAAATTTACAGTAATTTGAAATTTCGGTAAAACACACATTGCCATCTGGTGTGAACCTTTTAAAATAAGAATTGGGAACGTTCACGTTGAAAATGGTTTCATTAGGATAAAAGTAGGTGTAAAACTTTCGTCTATTGAATAAATTTGTATTGGTGTTGGGAGGCTGAATTTCTTTGTTTAATAAAGCTATGTTTAAGTTGTTAAGTCTGTTCGTTTGCATGTTTGTAAGTTTACTTTTTTCCAAAAAGCGAATTCCTACAAAAATGACAAACAAAATTCGATCCGGGAATCTCTTTGAAAATAAAACAAAATTCCAAAGGTTTTAACCCTATTTGAGAAAAAAATCAGCCAATTATATTTGTTTTCGAGATTTATATAAATATTTCACGCGTTCAAAAGTGGCACGCAACACTATACGAAGGTGCCACATAGTAATCTAGCTTGTTTCCCATTACGTATATCTAACACATATGCTCGAATTTAAGATTAAATTTTATTAGTCTCATTTCTTATGAGAGCTCAATGTACATATATAAACCTGGTGTGCATTGACCGCAAGTCCTCCACCAGTACTGGTACCAGTACCATACATGTTTTTCGATCTGATAAAAGTGGTTCTATAGTTCTTTAAATAGTAGTGCAAATTATTAGCCTTGCATAAAAACATCGGAAAATTAACCTAAATTGTGCCGAAATCCAATTAGAGGTCGATTCGGTGCAGGCGTATGTGTTATTTTTGATGGGCGTACGTAGTGCTGGGGTGATAGTCCATGCTACAAGCGTACGTAACATTCATAAGTAGCTGATTAGATATAAAAAATGATATCACGATACATTAAGATCAAAAATCTAAAAATTCTGAGTCGAACCCCATCCCATCCCATCTTTTGAATTATCTCCCTAAACGCTTTTGGTTCGAGACCAGTCAGTCACCTGCAACTCACCTAATATTCTTTATTTCTTAAAATGCACGATGCTTTCAAGGTTTCCGTTGCGCTAGACAAATTGCAGCAAAAGATCGAGTCTATCTTCGCATATGGTTGGCATTAAGGAAAAAGTTGCTGCCTTCCATTTGCGCTCGCGACTCACTTTTCTCGAAAATTTATAGGTCAAAAGTTATTCATAGGAACCAGCTCTGGGGCCCTGTTAGTCTACGAGGTCAAAGAACCTCTAGGCATGTTCTTCACTACCTCCGATCCTAAGATCTGTGACAAACCAACGATTAACCATGGTTTTTTTTTTTGCAGACGACGAGCCGCTAACAGTCACCCTGGTGGAAACTCACAAAAATTTTTCGAAGAAACTGATCGAACAATTGGATGTAATTAAAGAAATTGGTGTTCTGGTTTCACTTTCAGGTATTCCGTGCTAATATTTGAAAAGTAGAATATTTTTTGTCTTCAAACTTACCAATGAATTTTCAACTCTTCCATTCAAGACGGCTGCGTGAATATATACGATCTAAATACCCTCGAACTGCAGAGTCAATTATCGAAGACACGTGGTGCTAACTTGTTCGCAATTGATACTCAGATCGTGATAAGTGAAGGTGAAATCCCGACGATAGTCACACGTCTGGCGGTTGCCGTGAGAAGAAAATTGCTTGTTCTCACGTGGGAAGATACTGAATTTACGAACACAAAAGTAATCATAAAATCTTTACGCATAGCGATCTTCGATTGATGTCAGGAATCGTCCGTATTTACGTGTTTGCGTGATATCTGTTGCAGGAACTTTCACTGCCAGACAGGGTTCGAGCAATGGCCTGGGTTAGCTCCGATAAAATTTGTCTTGGATTGGCCACCGAATACGCGCTGATGGACATTAGCACCGGTGCACTCACCGCATTGTTTTCCCCGTCCAGCGCACATGGCGGTGCATCTTTTAGTTATATGGGAATGATTGGTTCAAAGGTTACCAAGCCCATGGTGACAAAATTACCCAATGATGAAATTCTCTTGGCCAAAGATAGTGGGTATCCTGTCACACTTGCTCTCATAGTTGAGATCATTGATTTCTCTTTCATCACAATTATGCGAGTATCTTTACAAGTAAATTTCTAATGCGAATACAAAATAGATGTCAGCATCTTCGTGGGACTCGACGGAAATCCTACTCGTAGGGCAGGAATAGATTGGTCCGCCACACCTGAAGATATAGGTATATAAATAAAAGGGTTTGCATCGGATTTTGATTATCGTGCTCACAATTATTAATATTCAAGGATATTCATATCCTTATCTCATTGCGATACTGCCGAAACATGTGGAGGTCAGAAATATTATGACGCAGACTTTGGTCCAAACCGTTGAACTACCTCAAGCAAGATTTATTAATAAAGGAAAATATTTATATGTTGCCAGCTACAACAGTGTTTGGAGATTCATTTCTTTAAATTTTGAGAAACAGGTAAAAAAAAAAAAAAGGCTTAACGAAAGCGTTGATCAAAATATTTTGTATTCGATATGCATATGCATGGAAATGATTCGTTTTTATCATCAATATTTAATGTAGCTCATTTTATTATTGATTGGGGTTGACACACTAGATAGATCAATTGGTCGCACAATATCAATATGAGGAAGCCATAAGCTTAACTAAGCAAATTGAATCAATTCTACTCGACGACAAGGTAAAAGATAAAAAGGTATAATATCTTTGATTTAAACATATCTAATTAATCTCCTTACGTTTGAAGGATGCAAAGCTTCGACAAATACGAATGCTACACGCGAACTACCTTTTCCGGAATCACGCATTCGACGAGGCGATCACCATCTTCCAAAATTTAGAAGCAGACCCAGCAGACGTTGTCGCATTATATCCTCCCTCGATATCGGGTGCACTTCACGTATATGCGGAACATAATGAGGCTCATAAGAATGAGATCGATAACACAGAGAACGGATCCACTACGGACTCTGAATTAGATGAAAAACATCAGCTCGAGAAGGAGAATGTTGTAAAAGAAACAAAGCAAAACACCCTTGGTATGTCGGATCATTATAATTACATGAAAATGGAATTGTTTTATCGAAGTTAATGAACTTCTGATGATTTTCAGAAGGAAAATTATTGGAGGATGCCGTTTCAGCATTGATAAGATTTTTAACAGACAGAAGACAAAAGATATCGAAAATATTACATAAGCACCAAGTGTTGAAATCAAGTGAATCAACGCCTCCAGGGTCACCTAATGGGTCGAATCATATAAACGGGAATCATAATCACCTACTGGAAGCCGCCGAATTGGTGGACACAGCCCTGTTAAAGTCTTATATGATTATAAATGATGCTCTGGTGGGTCCACTGCTTCGAGTGCCAAATCATTGTAACGTCGAAGAAAGCGAGGGTCTTTTGTTAGAGCGCAAGGTATATAATTGAATCCCTTGTTTTCCGACATTATCGAATGTTCTATGACTTTTATTCAACCTTCACTTTATTCGAAAAAAATAACCTAATTTAGAAATATAGGGAATTGGTTGATTTGTACAAGGGAAAAGGCCTACATCGTAAATCTCTAGAACTTCTGAAGAAGTAAGTCGGCCAATATATATGTCTTTTAATTCAATGATCATTAGCAATGATTTAATTATGCCTATCTCCGTAGGCTTGGTCAATCTGAAGGACCCATGTCAGGAACTTTCCATACTATTCTTTATCTACAAAGACTTGGTGTAGAACATTTCGATTTGATGCTGGAATATGCTAAATGGGTCATGGATACCGATCCGGAGAGGGGGATGGATGTAACTATAAAATTTTAACTGCGAAATGGACTTTAAAAACCAATGTTAGTTTGATTAACACAACTTAATGTTTGTTCCCAGATTTTTATAGATGATCATCTTGAGATTGAAAGTTTACCACGCGATAAGGTGTTAAGTTTTCTGGAAGGATTCTCATACGATCTCTGCATAACATACTTGGAACATATCATATACGAACTTGAAGACCAGACTTCGAACCATCACAACAAATTAATTACCACTTATTTGAATAAAATTCAGCAATTGTCATCGCAAATTCCACCCGAGGATTCCGAAGGAAATGAAAGAGGTAAACTATTCCCTAACCCATTTTATTAGCATTTATTATTTTTCACTATTAATCAATTAATCATTCATTCGAACAAAGGTCTTTTGTTGGAATCGATTGAAGTAACAACAAAAAAACTTTTGAAATTCTTGGAAGAATCGACTCACTACAAGGTCGAAAAGATCTTGGGACAACTTCCTCTAGATGGTAATTGCGTTTAAATATTATTTTGATTTATAATTAGTATCTAATCTAACCTTCCTTCCGATCATTCTTTGTGATAGATTTTTATGAAGTTCGGGCAATACTACTTAGTCGTCTTGGTCAACATGACCAAGCCTTAAATATCTATGTACACAAACTGAAAAATGAGGAAATGGCAGAAGAGTGTGTATCGATCTCAATAATTCACTGAAGGTTATTTTGTTTAATATGGTAGTTGACGATTTATTTTCCACCCTCGACACCTAAAAGATATTGTGTGAAGAATTATAACGAGTCCGGTGATGACTCGAAAAACGTATTTTTATCACTATTACGAGTATATCTACGACCGACAAACGGAGAAGAAGTGATGATCGAACCAGCTTTGCGACTCTTATCACGTCATGGATCACACGTGAATGCTTCTGCGGTTCGCCTTTTTTTTTTTTTTGGCAATGTTTTTTGAAAATTAGCACCACAGCTCATAGTCATTATAAAAATTCTCGTAGGCTCTAAATATGCTTCCTCCCTCAACCAAGGTTTCTCATTTATACTCTTTTTTTGAAAAATACATTCGAGAGAGTAATAGATACAAAAATATGAATATGATCGTAAAGAATTTACTTAGGGCTAACCAACATCAGGTAAAATTAATTATCGTTTGCATTAACCTGGATATCATGAATGACTGAATTTTTCCTAGATCGAAGAACAACTAATGTATTATCGGTCACGGAGGGTTAAGATTGATGAGGATCGAATGTGCCCTCAATGTAACAGACGTATAGGACCCAGGTTACAAAAATTCCTTTTTTGTTTTTCTTTGATTTTATTCAATCCTTTATTGACGCAAACAAATTTTCTATCTAGTGTTTTTGCTGTCTTTCCCAATGGGGTGGTTGTACATTTCCACTGTAAAGAAAAGGTAAGATCCTCTATACACTTTAAAATGTTTTTAAAAAGAATTAACATTCTTTCTTCCATTTAGTACTCACAAGCAAATGACACAGCAATATGAGATTCAACTATGCCAAACGTTTTAAAAGAAATCAAGATTCTTCCTGCAACTGTCAAATATATAATGCATTCTATTTTAATATTTATTTATTTATTTAAAGGATTACAGTAATGAAGCCAAATTTTGAATAGACGCTTCTTGGACATTAATGACATCTGCCTATGTCATTCATATTGAAAGAATCATTATGCATCAAACACGTTTACGATTGTAAATATTAGTATTAATAAGTTGGCAATATGGTATAATATGCAATGTTAAATTATTTGAAACATTGGAAATACATTTCATCTTATATACTGTAATTTTATTAATAACAATTTGTTATAATTTTTTTTATTGGTTTAATTTACTGTATATCAATTAGCTATATTATGTTGCAATTAACTTATGTAATAAAAATTATTGTTTAGTATATTGTTTTATTAAATTATATAGTAACGATATAATTAAAAAAAATTAAGATTAAACCTTTATGAATTTAAATAAAAAATATTGTATAGTATATTAATAAAAGTAATCAAGACAGATTTTTAATATCGTAAATATACAATAAATTTTGTTAAAGTTAATTAATATAAAATTTTTTATAATTTTATTTTTTTTGGGGGGGGGGAGGGGGGTTTTCCCCAGTAGGTAAACATTATTTCTTTATTCGTTATTGTATATTGTAGGTATACATTGAGAAAGAAACAACATCTCTTGGGTGCATATTGCATACAACAAGTTAAATG